ATGCCGTAAAGCTATTCCCGAGCTGTGACGCTATGACGAATATGGCGTTCGTTTCCTGTACACAAGGTTATTTATTGCACGATAAAACGCGCCGCGTATACCTGTATACATGGATGTGGACTACCGAACGCGGCCGACCCTTCTTTTGGTCTTCGTCTTCGGCGAAGAAATTCCCGCGAGAAATCGCATCGTGCGCCTTAATTGTCCCTTTAATTGCGCTGCTGATCTTGCACGAAGCCGCGGATCTTGGAACCGTGCTCTCTCGGGAGAGAAAGAAAGGCAGCGAAAGAGAAAGAAAAAGAGATCGACGATAGTAAGTGCATTGACGCAGATTTCTCGATGGCGATTGTGTTTAACGTCCACTTGGAATACGCGGCAAATTATTGTTTTTTTGCATTTCCTTGTCGGCTTAATTTCATCGTGTTCTTTACAGCTTCTCCGGGCGAGCAGAATCGATCGATGCATCCCGAATTTGCATCTTCATTTCGTTGACGCGCACTCATCCGGTTTGCATATATTGAGTTTGAGTTACTGTCATTTAACGTTATTTTTCGTCACACACCGTTAATCCCTCCGCGGGCGGTCCGCGCGCAAATCCGTACCAATGGACAATCGATATGTGAGAGCATGCTAGCGACCTCGTTATCGAGGATCACGTTTTGGCATATACCCAACGAGTGTATCGCTCGTCCGGATCAGCCGGAGAAATGTGTCTGTGAGAATGTGTATCGCCGAGAAAACGCCATCGAAGAGAGTGCATAAGCTATGTACTTGCGAATGCACGACCAACCCAAGTCAAGCCACTGCGAAAGAAAATACTTGAATATTTATGTATGGAATATATACAGTTTATATTTCTGTGGATAAACTGTATATCATATATATAAATTTTTAAGTATTTTCTTCTCAGTGTAGTAGATTTGCTTTTCTGAATTTTATCGATTCACTGAGAAAAATTCCTAGCGGTATCTCTACCTTTTTTATCTATTAATTTTTTAGTAACTTATATATAATAGGAGTTTTCACATTCAACGAGAGGTATCTCCTCTCTAGTCTCCTTATTTCTCTCTTTTTCTCGTCTTTTCAGCGCGAAGACACATTCATTTATCGCGCTACAGATTTATGCACCTGCGGATGAAACCCGTTGCGATCTCTGGATTCTGGAAAGCTAGGTCATTCGTATTGCGTGCAAGCTGCTTCATTCATGCTGTTCATTACTCGCTTATTTTCAAACGTCACGGACGTGACGGAGAGACCTCGCGATCCCGAACGATCGTGCCGAAAGTAAATGCATCGTCGTGGCGATTCACGGACGTGAATCGCTGCCGAGTGTGTATGTATGTATATATGTGTCGTAAAACGCGGTAGGAAAAGCGATCTTATCGTGCGTGTTCTCCAAGGGACTTCGTCTCGATCGTTTCCGTCGATTAATGTACTGGAAACTAAGCGCCTAATTTAAGGCGTGTCGTTCGGGCTCCTCCTTTTCTAGCAGAGCGGGCGATGCATTCCGCGCGTAACAAGCGGTGCAATTATCAAATGTGCATTCAGGCCTATGCAACGCGTGCGAGAGCAGCTGTACAATTAGCCGCCGTGATTTCTCGTGCATTACATGCTCCGATTTCTACGTCTTCGAAATTTCCACAAAAATACGGATTTGCTTCTCGGTGTCTCGCTGTCGCGTTCGATTTGCATTATAAAAAATTGTGTGTTCTTGTTCAGGACGATCCACATTCGTCCAGAAAAATATGTCATCTTTAGCAGAATCCCCTTATATATGGCCTCAAAGGGATTCTTCTAAAAGGGAAATATTCTGAGCACAATATTCTTAATTAGTTAGAGTATTCTTAATTAGTTACATTTCACTTTTAATCTACAGTAAAAGTCTTATCTTTAATAGACATTTTTTCTAGCAAAAGGCATTCTGTTTTAAGTAAACATATTCCTTTTGATTAAAAAAGGAAAAAGGAATAATATATCTAGAATTTGAGATTAATAGACCATTTTATTATTTTAAGAGGTAAGAGTCTTTCAATAAGAATTTTCGAATATGAGAGTGCAGGAAACAGCATTTTGCAAATAGAATTTTTTTTAGGTGATAGAATTTTTCCTTTTGTGTTTAGAATATTAAGATCATGCATATGAGGATTCTGCTAAAAATAAGATTGTATTTTTTTGGATGTTGAAATGTACACAATGCCTATAAATCAAATGGTCGAACGTTGGCCGATCATCTGATCGCGAGCGCGTTTGGGGACTAAAGGGTCAGATTGCCTGAAAATCGTGCTTATATTTTACAATTTTTTATGACGAATAAATATGCGAAAGTGTTATTTTGACGTGTATTTATACAACATATAAAGAGATGAAAAATATAATTTTGTTGATCAAATACTCAATATAAATGTATGGTACATGCAGTTAAAATATATTTTGTTTTTTTTTCAAGATCGTCATTTTGCAGTAATATCTTGACTCTCGGTGGTTCAATTAAGCTGAATTTCAGGTAGAACATTTCCGTAAGTTTGTTGTTATCGGGTGAACCACTATAATAGAAACTGAATAAAAGTTAACAAAATTACAAATATCTTAATGGAATATTATTAAAATTTTTAGTTCTTTTATAGTAAAAAAATTAATATTTTAAAATTAAATATTTTTACGAGTTTATCAGTGATATAAGTGATTACTGCAATCAAGATATTACTGCAAAATGACGACCTTGAAAAGAAAAACGAAATATATTTTAACTGCATGTACCATACATTTATATTGAGTATTTGATCATCAAAATTATATTTTTCATCTCTTTATATGTTGTATAAATATACGTCAAAATAACACTTTCGCATATTCATTCAGTTTGTCATAAAAAATTGTGAAAAAACAAACATGATTTTCAGACAATCT